TTTTATTTATTTATTTATTCATTTTGTCACACACATTAAGTATATACATTTACGTAGAGATATAACAATAACAATAACTAGAAAATGCTGTGACAGGAGAAGAAAACAGAAACTAAATTCCAATTGATATTCGACCCCTTAATTAACAATTAATGGATAACGAGATGTACTAGGACAATTATGCACGAACCTATCACAGATTACATGCAACTTAACATATAGGATACTGTACAACGAATTTTAGAACAAAATTATCTATGGTGGTATGTAGGTAAACAGTTTGGCTTTGTAATAAGATTGTAGATGGTGCTTGAAGATCTGTAGGGAATGGGCGGCTTTGATGTTTGGTGGTAGATTGTTTCAGAGAATGACGGTACGTGGGTTGTAACTTGTGACCTAACTGTTCTCAAACAACGTGACATTTTTTGTATAAACTAGGACTACGTTTACACTTGTATCGCGGATAGCTTTGCTTAGCGACGTGAAAAACATCTATCCGTACCTTTTAGGAACGCTATTTTCAAACGAATTATTGCACAGAGAATGGACCATTTGCATTATAGACTAAATTTTGATCTAGACAAAAAATTTATCACAGCTTGAAAGAGCATCACAAAATTAGTAATATTCCAAAGTTTCGTTGCGAAATGTTGTAAAATGCGGATAATATAGCCATGCGAAGTTTACCGTTTTTTCAGTCATTTTGTAATACGCATGGGAATTAAATTGACAGCCCAATCGGGTGTTGGGGCATCAATTTCCCATTTGTAATACAAAATGACTGAAAATTGCAAATTTCGCAAGGCTATATTATCCGCATTTTACAACATTTCGCAACGAAACTTTGGAATATTACTAATTTTGTGATGCTCTTTCAAGCTGTGATGAAATTTTTGTCTAGATCAAAATTTAGTCTATAATACAAATGGTCCATTGTTGTTTCGCTCAGCTTCTGAAAGTTGTACAATTCCGTACTATTGGATAGGTGTTTTTTCGCGCCGCTACGGAAACCTATCCGGTAGTATAGTGTAAACATATAGCCTAATTTATAAGCATGACTATAAGTCCATTTTTGCCAAGACAAACGGCTCTATTGTTCGCTTTTTGCTACTATATTATTAGTTTCTCAGCTATCGTCAAATTTTGGTTGTTTTGCTCGTAATTGTTTGTCTATAAAGATTAAAAACATAGTCACATGCCATATTCGACACAGCAGCATACATGCATGCATCTATATATACACGCAGATAATCTGCATCCCACCGCTGTGTTGAATGGAAACAAAAGAAGCAGAGACTGAATCTTTTATAGCGTTACAAATTCAACATTAAATGGCCATTGGTATATTTGGGTTGAAAGAGTGGATGTGTTTAGTTAACATTAAAGAAACGTTAAACAGATTCTGTGTACATCTGGCAGGGGTAACTTAAAGTATATTGTCATTATTGAAATTGTTTGAAACTATAAACGCTCACATCCCGAGTAACAATTGGACCCTACTTACCGCTGAATTGATCTTTACTTTTTTCACATTTGAACTCGCCTTGAAAGTTTTGGTCTATTTAAAGCATCTTAACTGATATTTCGCTACGGTTTTGTAGAACGTATACAAAATATATTATACATATCTGTCACAAAACAAAATACGGCCACCTTGTATGCGGTTTTTAAAGGGTATTTAAATGACATTAATTATTTACTACATGTACATGCAACTCAATAAACTGCTTCAATCGTCATTCTGCCACTTCAGCCTTGGCGGCATCACTATAGCAACCGCATGAGCTAAAATGTTGATATGTGGACATTAGTGTCCTAAGGAGTAAGGTGTTCTACTCCAGTAATATATGACGATGGCCAGTTACAGACGAGCAAGCTTTATATGACAAAGATTGACAATTTTTTTCTCCTTTTTATTGGCAACTTTGCCAATTTTTACTATGACAAGTACACGTGTTCAATGGTCGTAAAGATTGAGTCACGATCTTTCCCATCAGCCGAAATACAACATTTTAGAACTGAAATTACGCGGAGTTATTATAACTGGAGAATACTTATATGATTTATACGTGGTTTAAAGGTATAAACTATTATAAACTGGCCGTTGAGAAAGATCGTGACTCAATTTTTACGACCATATGGAAATCAGGCTTATTTTGAGGAAGGTCTATATTGACAAAGAAAACTTGTCATAGCGACAATTTGCAATGCCATTTGCAAATTTTATTGGCTCGCCAACGACCTGTATTAACGTCTCCAAATTGTCGCTAAAAATTGTCCTGTGGGACATCGCATAAATTGGTTTTCTGCCTGGCTTTGACGTCATTGATGGAAGTTTGTCAAAATAAAACGTAGTTGTGGCATCTGTCCCAAAACATTTGAAATAATTGTAGTTTTTGATGGCTCACAACTGCATGTATGGCTTGAATTATTTGAGTGACACTGACAAAATATCTTGACAGAAATGGCTGACAAACGATGAAACAGCAATTTGAAACTGACGTCTTAAGATCCCATTATTGTCCATTAAGACAGCCCCACTATGAAAGCCATTAATATTAATTTAGGTTAGCACGGCGTAAAGTACTTTATGGCAATTTATTTAATGTGCCTGTAATTTGAGAACTTCCGCAGGCCTAATGCAATACGGCAATTAACTATTATTAAGGCAAATTAACTTTTAATTTCAGCAAGGACATGCTGGAATTAATGAGACAGTTTTGCCATTTGACTGAACTTAATTCAAAGCTCAAACGAACAAACATTTCCCATGATTTTCCTGTTCCCACAGAACCACCCTCAGAGATATGAAAACCTAGCTTCCTATTATTAATATAAAAGTTCATGTCTCTGAGGATAATTCTGAAAAAGAATTGAAAGACTGTGTGTCCTCCAAGAGTTAAATCGTCACGAAACTATTTCGTCAATCTCGTTCCCGGAGCCTGCGATCCTGCCTCCTCCGCAGGCCCTCGTTGCGTCATGGGAAGGTCACGATCTGGCGAGGGCCTGCGGAATCTTGTAAAAAAAATGGCGCCGGCGTCACGTCAGCAAGTAAATTAAATTTCTACATAATCTTGAATATAAACAGATATAAAAAAGCGGTGTGAAACTTGTAAATTAAACTGGCGACTCTTAGGACGTGGAAGGAAGCATTTTTTAACTATAAGGTTTGTTGTCCACACCAACGTTGCACGAAAAAAACTGCCTTCTTTATCGAA